CGAATGATGTTCCGAAGACAGATCGGTTTCCGGGCTCGACGCGAAAGTCGCAGACGAAGGAGCGTCGCGAGGGACTTGTGAAGGTGTCCCAATTCCTCGCGTTTGCGTTCGCGAGGCTTCCTCCAGTAGAAGCCCGTCGATTCTCGCGTTACTCGGAAAGCAAATAGTGAAGTCACGCTGGTCGAAATTGCGTAGAAATTGCGCAAGCGAGCTCGGCTCGAGCGAGCGGTTCCGCCTGTCGAGAGCACCTTCTGAAGGATGCCGCCGTGAAACATGAGACATCGCGATGACGTCGGCGATTACACGCTCGCTATTCCCAGCCCAGGACGAGCCGCCGAAACGTGCGCGGTTATGTCATAAATACGGAAATCGCCGAGTAACGGAGCCGGTGTCTCTCGAAGTGACGCTGAGGGAGGCAAAAATACGCGCGGGAGGGCCGATTACGCGGCGCCTAAATCAGCCGCGGAAGAGAAAACCGCGGATTCGGCCGCCGCGCTTACGCACTAAGTGGTCTGGCCGGCGGAGATTTGCGCCGCTCGGCGCTAATAACGGCGGAGCGGAGCCGCGAAAAGCGCACCCGCGGGTCCCTAATGGCCACGCGGAAGAGCGCGATTACGAAATCGATGATTTCCTCCACGTCCATCGACGCCGCGAGAAAGTGTCATCTTGGAACCGGCGCGGCGGCGGCGGCGGATGAGACAACGAGCGCGAGATCGGGGACAGTCACAGTGACGAGTCTTAAATCTCGACGAGTGTTACGAGCGCGACGACACGCGGAACGCTCGACACGGGCGACGCCGGATTACCGCGGCCCGTCCGCGCCGCGCAGCTTACGACCCGCGATTACGTGACAGCAGTTTATCGCGGGACGATCGTCCGCGAGCGATTACGTGTGTAACCGCCGCGGTAAACCCGCCACGGGGCACGCCTCCCCGCTCTCCATCCCCCGGCGATCTGGTCTCCGAACTGAATTGTCGCTTCTGAGAAGCCTGTCTGAGGACAAGCCGGCTTCACGATAGGTCGGATCTTCCGATATAGCGCACGATAACGGAGGCTGCTGAGCGATTGGAGAGCGGTGCACATTGCGATAAATGCTGAGTTCGAGGGGTTAATCCGCTGGCGCATTCATTAGATCGCGCCTGTCTGGCATTGAAGTCTCTCGCTCGAGAGTCTCGGCCTGTTCCAGAGGACGTCGAGAAATCGCCGACTAGAAATCTCAGCGCCGCTTGCTCTCTGTCGTCGGATTAACAATGTTGCCGCGATTGTTGCCAGCCGCGAGCGGAACATCTGTTCGCTCTCGGCTCGACGAGGGGAAGTCCGAGAGTATCTCTCTTCGATCTCGATGAGCCTTGAATCTCTTTCCTCCTCTTCTTGCTCATTATTCGCAGAAATCTGCACTTCGCTTCGGTACGACAGATCGTTCCTCATTTTATACTTTTTCTTGATAATGCACGTTTACAATGACACAAGAGATGCAGCCGAAAGAGGGAAAAATAAATATAAAAATCATAAATTTCTATAAGCAACTCCTCACGCACTTCGGGGACTCGAAATAATCTCCCGAATTTTTAATTTCACATATCAGGCAACCAGGCAACCAGTTTGTGTATGCTCTAATACATGCAAAACTTTAATAATTAATTTCCTAACTTAACGTTAACTTATTTTAAATTATTAAATTACTTAAATAACTTTAGATAACTAATTTTACGAGTTTTTTGCACGAGTTTTACGACATTCGACAGACTTTGCTGCACATTAAAATTTTTTGAAAACTTCATACTTCTCAGAATGCCCTCAATTCTTGCTTTTCTGCTTTGAAACTTTGCTTCCGTAAAGATCAAAATCGAGAAGGACTTCAAGTCGACCGCGCGCAACGACATTATTTTCTCGAGTCGCACGTTCCAGACCTTCGATAAACTAGACTGAGAACTTGCATTGGTTTTCATGTATAAAAGTGACCTTCATGTAAAACATAAAACGCGCACATGCGCATTGCAAGATCCCGTTGGTATTCTAGGGCCGGTATTTATAGTTAGGTCTTATATTTAAGACTGCCTTAAGTTCATTTTCAGATACCCTGTAACCAATGAAATAATTTATACAGCATCTGAAGATGAACTTAAGACGGTCTTAAAAGTTTAAGATCCGACTATAAATACCGGCCTATGGCTACATTCCGATATTCACTGCCAGCACTAATGTAGTATAGTGACATATATATAGTATATGTATATGTATAGTAGTAGTATATGTGACATAAACTATATATTTTCAATATTGGCAGTGAATATCGGAACGCAACCTATATATATACATAAATATATTGAATAAACATTGAATGTGTCATTGAATGTGACATTGCAAGAGGAAATATTAAATGGATAAATATTAACATCTGGACTAAAAATGTGCATGCGCGAGATTTTAATACATACTTTTACGGAACGTGTTAAAGAGACCAGTTATCGATCTAATGCAGCGTTTTTCAATCGGTGTGCCGTGAGAGAGGATCTAAGGTGTGTCGCGAAAATTTTCAAAGATCATTAGTTAAATTATTTTTGAAAGCAATTCAAAGCACAATAAGTATATACACCCAAATTAAAACCTTTTTAAATTGATTATACGAATATATCATTGTTATAATAAATAAACACCGGCTTATTTCTAAAGTGGACGGGGTGCAGTTTTTCTTACAAATTATAATAAATTGTTTGATCTTATTTTTTGGCCGTGATGGTCACATTTTGTTTGTGTTAATGAATAAATAAAAAAAGATATAAATTTTTTAAACTTTTTTTTAATCATCATAATTTAAGTGTGCCTCGAAAATTGAACTATAGGTTCAAATATGCCGTGAGATAAAAAAGGTTGAAGAACACTGGTCTAGTGTATAATATACTACTGTGATCAAAAAATAAGGTGAATTTTTCATTTAAACTTCGCGGGTACTATAAAATCATGAAATTATTTTTTTGTGGGTTGGTAGCACTGTCTTTGACATCTATGCAGAGTTTCATGTCAATATATTCAATTGCTGCAAAGTTATACGTGTTTTTATAAACATACAAAAGTAAGTTTTTCGATTTTTACTATGTCTGATTTTGTTGAGCAAAGAATTTGCATTAAATTTTGTTTGCGGAATGAATATTCTGCCGCGGAAACGTTGAGGATGTTGCAGAAGGCCTTTGGTGATAAGGCTACGTCGCAAAAACATGTTTACAAGTGGTACAAAGACTTCAAAGAAGGCCGAAAACGAGTTCAAGACGAACAGCACCCCGGACGACCATCAACATCTACCGATGAAAGCCACGTCAAGGAAATCAAACTGTTAACAAGGAATATTATTTGAGTGTTATGCGTCGTTTGCGTGAAGCTATTCGCCTCAAGAGGCCAGAATTATGGGCAGACAATTCTTGGTTTTTGCACCACGATAATGTACCGTCCCACACTGCATTGGTTCTTCGAGAACATTTTGCCAAAAATTCGACTCATATCGTTCCACAACCACCGTATTCGCCTGATTTAGCACCGTGCGACTTCTGGCTATTCAACAAACTCAAAAGACCGCTCCGGGGACATCGTTTTGACTCGATTGAGGAGATAAAAGCCGAATCGAAGAAAGTATTGAAGGCCATCCCGGAAAAAGACTTCTCTGACTGTTTCAAGGATTGGAAAAACCTTGGCATAAGTGCATTGTGTTGGACGGGGAGTACTTTGAAGACGATGAAATTGATTTGGAAGAATAAATAAAGATTTTTCATTTTATAAACAAATTCATCTTATTTTTTGATCACAGTAGTAGAAGTCTGTGTTCGAGACATTTGCCTCGCGATCGTAAACGCCGCGCTATAAGTAGGTACGGACGCGCTGCGTCGGGCGCGCTACAGAGCACCGCGTTTGCAAGCGGACCAGACGCAAGGCCTTTACGACTACTTGCAGCATCAGACTCGTACCCTCCGGCATCGTCCCCGTTGACCGAAAGAACGCGCTGATTTATCGATCCATACGGGAAATGAGACGCCGGGACGGCGGGAAGAGGAGATGGAGAAGGGAAGGAGGAGGGGAAAGAAAAGAAGAAGGAAAAGAGAAGACCGGTTCACATCCGCGCGTAAAGCCACGCAGCGAAAGCGTGGCACGACGATGACACCACGATAACGCTTAATGACGTCCCCGCCAATCTTTTTGACCCGTTGCGTTCCACGTAGAAGCAAGCTTCGCTTTGATAGACGAACAGGATTACACGTATGTGTAATCGCGCGTGTACGGCGACGTGAACGGAAAGAATCATCCAGCTGTCCTGATTGCGGAATCGGTATATCCTCGCGCAAGCATTAGTCGGTTCCCTCAACAACGGTACCGTGGAGATTTAGAAGAAGCGTATCTCGCTTCACTTGCAACTTGTTATCAATCGCTTCTCGACGATCGAGTCCCTCCGCAAGCCAAACATCACGCGCTCCTGTGAGTCTAACGAAATCTACCGCTTTGTCGTTTTCGCGAGCGGTTCTCCTTGTCCGATGCGTTGATTCGCATGAGTCTCGTCGTGTTGCGAACCAACACGTATTTGCCCCGACCCATCGTCCGGATGAAAGACGACCGGTGCGCTTCGCTGTTCACTATTCCCTGCGCATTCCACGTTGCAGAAACGTGAGAATAGATATATCAATGTCCCATGGAACAGCATCAATAAATAAGCGCACGTGTGTCCACCTTCTGTCTTCCAGCGCAGACTTGTTTCTGTCTTTCTCTCTTCAATCTTCTCGTGTTAATCTTCGTCCCCCGATGGACCTACGTTCTGCATGTTTTTCGCTTGGAACGAGAACACGGCTTCCAAACTGGCTTTTTCGCGCCAGCATTGACGCGCAAGACCTTCTCGAGGTTTTCGCCCGGAAACCTGATTTCTCAAACGGAATTTCGAATTCACCTCGCTCCGAGTCAATTAAACACGAAACACGATGCAGCCCGAGCACAACATCCGCCCGGTATGATCCGGTGTGAGAATAATTAACGGACATGAACAGGAGCTTCGTGGGTGCTCAAGGTCTGGTGAAGATGGCTCTGGATCAATATATGGAGATCCTCACGACGGCCTCGGACCCACGTGTCAATGATTGGCCGCTCATGGACTCGCCCGTGCCGACCATCCTCATCGTGCTCCTCTACCTGTACCTCGTCGTCATATTCGGTCCGCGTATGATGGTCAACAGAAAGCCGTACAAACTGAGAGTAGTTCTGGTGGTGTACAATGCGTTCCAGGTGGTCTTCTCGGTGGGGATGCTATACGAGGTGAGAGAAAAGAGCTTGTGTGTGTCGTCAAGAGCTGCGAAAAGCAATCACGCGCAAAAGTTTTGATCTCTTTTTTAGCCCTCTAATGTAATTATTTTCCCGCTATTTTCTGCTTTTGTAAGGTTAGTACTTTGAACTTCCTTAAACGCTATTTATATTATGAGTCATTGGTGCACATAACCTTTCGCATCCCTTTGCTGCGAATATTTGGCCACTGATGTAGAAGGCTATCCAAGGGCCGCTCACGAATGTCTGCGCTTAAGATTGTCATGTATAATCGACTTTTTATCACCAATGACAAAAGATCTCTGGCAAAAGATCTTTTCTGTGCTGTCCGGAAAGTAATATAACGCACATACTCAGCCGGTGAATTTGCAACAATTCATGCGGCACCTATTATCCGAGCTTTTGAATTTTTTCCATTTCATGCAATCGCCTTGAAGCTGTTGCTTGGTCAACTCCGAGCTGTTCTGCAAGTTTTACTTGCGTTTGAGATGGGTTTTCATTCAACAATGCTTCCAAATTGTCGGCCTCAAGCTTTCGTGGCGTTGCAAGGCGCGAACGATCATTCACGTCAAAATCGTTTATAAAGCGACGAAATCAATATTGACACATATCGCGCAATACGATATTTTCCCCAAGAACAGAGCAAATGGATTCATATGCTCTAGCAGCACTTTTTTCTCGCTCGAATATAAAGCTTTTCATTGTTCATTGTATTAACTGTCATTTTTAAAGTTATATACATCAATGAATTGTAATAAATTATAGTAAATAGCATTTTAGAAAGTTTAAATGGATTTACATGCTTTAGCAATACTTTCTTCGCTGGAATTTATATCGAATGTAGTGTCGAGAATAAACTTTTTCGTCGCTCATTATATCAACCGTTATTTTTTAAGGTTATGTACATCAATGAATAATGAAATGTTTTAGAAAGTTCAAATGGATTCACATGCTTTAGCAGCATTCATTCCTCCCTGGAATTCATATCGAGAGCAGTGTCGAATATAAAGCTTTCCATTGCTCATTATTTTTAAAGTTATATGCACCAATAAATCATAACGAACAGCGTTCATTGTGAATGTTGTTTCTAGAAAGTTCAAATGAAGTCACATGCTTTAGCAGCATTTTTTCCTTGCTGGAATTCATATCGAGTGCAGTATCAAATATAAACTTTTCTTTCGCTCATTATATCAATTATTATTTTTAAGGTTGTATAACCAATGAATTATAATGAACGGCGTTCTAGAAATTTTTCAATACTAACCTGACGAAAACACAAAACGGCGGCAAAATATTCAATTTAAAATAATTACATTATAGGGCTGAGAAAAAGGACAAAGACTTTTGCATACATCTAGTAAAACTGACTAACGGTAAGTTCGCGATCGCGAGTTCAAGCACCGAGAACAACCCGTGCAGTCGTCGAATAAATAACAGAGTACGAGATGACAATCGGGATAGAATCGGGCCAGCAGATACCTCGATAGGAAGCGTGCGAGTTGGAAAACGTGTAATTTGCAAAAGAGCAACCCCCTTGGGCAGGAAAAACTCGCGGAGAGAACGTAAGAGCGAAGAGAGAAAATGGCTAGGAGAAAGGAAGAGAGAAAGAGAATGCGCGCGCACGTGTGCGCGAGTTGCGTGTACATGCTCGTGAGAGTTCGTACGACCTCCCGAGGGTCACCCTTGACTTTCGCGTCTTCTTATGGCCATCGTTAGACTCGCTGTGGTGTAAAATGTGCGGCGCGCGAAGTTCATGAGCATCGGCGGCAATCCGCCGGTATCCGCGCGTGGATTTGCTTAGCGATCGAAGCCGGTCGAGCGGCTTTTCCCTTGCGAGTGAAATGGGTTACGATGTAAGTGTGCCGTCCGTGAGTACATCTACGGACATCGAGAAGGAAAGGATCGTTGCTCGCGGAGAGGAGCAGCGGTATATCGCGACGCGCTATCGAAGCTGATGAAGATGCCGAACGAGCGAGCGATCCTCGTTCGCGTGAGATTAGCGTGACCAACAAAATGTGACGGTGAAAGGAGATGAATAGAATATCTCGCGTAATCATTGACAAAGATCGAAGAGGAAACTACGGCCTGGAAATCCCTTGTGTCGCGCCACGAAATTATGGATTTTGCCATACGCGCTAATCATGCGCGTGATCGTGTAACGTGTGATCGTTTTCAGCCTAAGACACGGCTTAATTAGGCCGCTTTCGCGGGCCCATGCTCGGGCGAGCGTGTTATGTGTGACAGCGTCTTTATCGAATCAATAAGGTTTGCGGTCGATAATTACGCTGAGCATCGTAATTAGTGAATGCCCAATTTGTGACAAGTGCACTCTCCCTCCTTCCCCCTCTAACTCGCCATTTTCCTTATAAATAAATTCGTGAATAGTCACCCTAAACATACATTCCTGCTCTAAATTTTATATAGGGTGTCCGGTATCTTTTGGAAACAAAAAATTGTGAAGATTAATTAGATGAAAAGTCAAGAAGAAAAGTCAAGTTCTATTTTGCAAAAATCGCAATAGTTATTAAATTATTAATGATAGAAAATGATCACATCTAGAAGCTCTTTTAATTGATAATTGAAAATACTTGAAAATTTATTTATTTATCTGCGAAAATTTATTTATTTATTTATAGAGTATTTATTTGCAAAATGGTAAAGGATTTTTTTGTTCAGAATGACCTAACCTACAATTATATGATGACTATTGTGCCTAACGACAAGTTCAAGATTCAGGGTTCAAAGTTCAATATATTTACATATCTATCTAGGCACAATATCCGTCATATAATTGTAGGTTAGATTACTCTGAACAAAAAATGTTTCCATTACCATTTTGCAAATAAGTACGCAAATTTTAAAGTCATCAATTAGAAGAGTCTCTAGATATCATTTTCAATCGTTAACAACTTAAAAATTGCGATTTTTGCAAAAATGGTACTTGACTTTTCTTCGCAGTTGATCTGATTAATCTTCATAATTTTTCGTTTCCAAAAGATCCCGGACACCTTGTATATTATCAATTATAAAATTCGGATAAAGCTAAAAGCTGTGACAAATGCTGGAACGTTACAATTGTAAGCGCGCTGACAACGACGACAATTTAGATTGCCACTCGCCGACATTTTACCACAAGTTAATAGTCAACGTTGGATGTCTGTTGGATCTGTGGGATTATCCTTTAATTTCTTCGAAACTAAACTCTCGACGGAAGAAATCAAATTAAACTGTCATATATAAATCGAATATTACAAATAAATGAAGATCTAACTACGACTTGAAAAGACGCAATGTAGCTTAACACGCGAATTATTAATGTATTAATTTTTCTTCACGACGAAATTACTCGGTCGTTAATTGGGAATTCACCTCAAGATTTGCATAACCGGTCAGAGAGTATCACTAAATACATTCGCCGATCCTGCCTTGACGAGCGGTCACGTGCTCGTCAGTAATTGAACGAGCGGTCGCGTGATTATTTCGATGCAGGATTGCACAATCTCTGCGGTCGAGAATGGTTAATTAAGCATAAGAAGCGAAAGAAGAAATGTCTGCTTGCGTGCGTCGACTTAATTCCACGCGACATTTGAATCGTTGCCTCTTCATCCACTTTTCGAAGGTCGCCTTCGCAAGGTTTAACAAAATCTCGACGACTCGCCCTGCACATGCAGCAATTTTCAGACCGCGTTAATGCGTTTGCCGTCGCGAATTCACGATTCGGGTCACTTGCGCCACCGTAGCAAGTCTTTCCGCCCGCTGGAAAATGAAAAGCCGCGCGAAAATGCCGGTCGACTCGCACGATCTCGGGGAGGGACGCGAAGACTGAACGAATTGATCGAAGCGACTACGTTAGATTTGCGCGTAAACTCCGCGTAATGCTTCGAACTAGTTTTCTCGCTACAAACACACAAGCGAGACGCAGCTTAATCGCAACAACGTAACAACTATAACATAACGGCAGTATAATAGCCGAAATCTCCCGCCGTATCTTAGGCGCGCATGCGCGCTACAATTTGCCGGTAATTTTGAGCTTGGATCTCAGATTTTCAACAATCCCGGCGGTGGAACGCAGCGTGGATAATTACACGCATTGCTAAATTTTTCGCCGAAACGCCGTCGGGCGTGCGTTACGCCAGGCGAAATACGCGGCGCGAGATTGATTATGTATTCCGAATATGTCTGCCGAGGTGTCTGTCGATACATTTCGTGCTATATTTATAAATAGAGACGAAGAGGACTACTCGAGAAAAATCGCACTCGGAGTCCACGTGAGATGTAAATTGGCGAAACCGGCCGGTTACATATACTCGCTCCGCTCTGACAGATGTACGATCTCGCTTCTTAACCTTGACCTACTCGCCGCGAACCGCCTCTAATAAAGCCAAGCGGGTTTAGAGTCTCCCGAGCGGCGTTGAGCAAACACACACGCGTGCATGCGCACGTACACACACACACACACACACACACACACACACACACACACACACACACACACACACACACACACACACACACGCACGCACGCACGCACGCACGCACGCACGCACGCACGCACGCACGCACGCACGCACGCACACACACACACACACACACACACACACACACACACACACACACACACACACACACACATACACGGGATCGGCCGCTTTCGAAATTGCAGCGGTGCAGCGTAAATACTAGTTTCACGAAAAACAGCGACGCGTTGCTGCAATGCAGCGAGCCGACGGTTGTTAGCTAATAATAATTGATCGATCAGCTAGATCAGCCTGTATTCGCACCCGAACGGGCAACGGAACGTAATCGCAGGAAATACGAAGATTGTGGTTACCGGAGCTAGCCCGATGCTCATTGCCCAATCGCGATCCGCCGACTCGCGTTTCGTTTGCGGAGCACTCGCGAGAGAGAGAGAGAGAGAGAGAGAGAGACGTCCTGTTTCCACAACTTTCCACAAAGTGCCGAGCCTCGTTCGCCGCGCTTCGATATGCCATCGTATACGCGTATAAGATCAGTACGACGATAACGAGCTATCGTGCCGTAGGTCAGGTAAGAAGCGAATCTTCATACGCGATGAGATGGATAATGAATGGCTGCATCCTTCGCTGCGCATCGCCGCGCGAAAGTTCACCTCGCAGACGCGACGGCCGACCGCAGCCTCTTACCTTTCTGCTTCTAGAGAGTCGGCCGCGCTTTTTGCAGAAATAAAATGGAGCAGATTCTTCAGACGGTTCCACCAGTCGCTGCACACGTCGCTGTTTCGGTCGTACTTTCCTCTTTCTTTCTCTCAAAGTCCGCGCGCTATTATGGCGACTGTTTTCCGCGCACCAGAGGCGAGCCAAATTAAACGGGCGTGAATTAAGCGCGCCATCGGGTGTGATTAATGAGGCGATGAAAAACGCACAACTCGCACAAACTCGCGCAAGCAGAGAGAAACCTGCTCGAGTATCGCTCGACTTTGTACGGAATGTATCATTATGATAATCTATCACGTGACTGCTGTAAAATATTTTATTGACGTACAGCGATCGCCTTGCGGAAGTAGAAATTTCGCTGGAAAATCGCTATCGAGATTTTCAAATGATTCTTCCAATCTCTCGCGCGATTACACGTCCGAAAAATTTATATTCTTATATTAATGTTCTCTTTTTATGTTCTTTCAGCACTTAATGTCCGGCTGGCTGTTGGACTACAGCTACAAGTGTCAACCGGTCGACTACTCCCACAACCCGTCCGCCGTAAGGATGGCGAACCTTTGCTGGTGGTATTTCATCAGCAAGTTCACGGAATTCGCCGATACGGTACGGCTCCACAATCAAATCCCGCATAACATGTGCATAATTCGCGAAATGCAACCGGGACGTCAGGTCATCTTCGGAGGAAAAGCCGACGAGAAAACTGTTGGCCAAACGAAGCGGCGCGCATTGAAACACACGCCGGGAATTGCAAAGACAAAGAAAGCGTTATACACCGCGCGTGACTTGGACTAACAACGTCGATCGTATACCGAGATTATTATCTCGCTGCGAAGAATTAATATTATCTCACTCCTAGGAGCAATTTCTTTTTTCATTTCTTATGAAACGGTGTTTCGAAAATAAGAGAGGAAAGTAGGGAACGGTATTGTGTGCTGTGGAGCGTCGTTTATGCGGAACGAGTATGAAATCGGCTATCCGGCCGATTTCTCCCGGCAGGTCTTATCACTTTATAACCGCGGTTCGAGAGGACAATGAAGCATCGTCCCGACCGACGTACCTACGGTATCCTTATTTTGCATTTACTTTCGGCCGCGAGCGAGAAAGATTATCTATGTAAAAAGCCCCAAGTTCAGCCCGATTATACTGAACACCTGAACGCACGCGTGTACAGTTAATAAACAGCTTGACAGCTACCGGGAAATGACTGAAACAAAGAAAAGGAGAGAAAAAGGACGCGAGACAAATGGCTGGTCACTTTGTGAGAGGCGGATAATCGCGTACAAATATTCGTATCCCTACTCGCGGCGTAATAACCCTTAAGCAATCGTTCCCATTAGCGCGCGCGGGTACTACCACCGAATCGCTATCGAGCACGCAATCCGGCCAGCCGGATTAAAGAAGCAGTTAAGATTTAATCAACCGATCGCCGCGCTCGCCTGCTGACTATCCCGTCGAAAAAGCCAGCGATTCGCAAATTGGACTCGTTCACCTATCCCCGTCGCGAAGGGTGAAAGTGTGATGGACTCCCTATGATGGACGTCTTTCGACAGCGCGCTCGCACGAAATTTGGTGAAACGTCCGAATCATCCGACTCGTTGCTCAATTTCGACACTTGACTGGTGATTACCTCGGAAAAAATTATCTGATTAATGAGCGTGTTGCAATGGCAATGCAACAATACGAGGCACTCTCGGACGATCAAGTCGTTTCCGCCGGTTACTCGCAGATCGTCAGCTATCCTTAAAAATCCGAGAATCGAAGGAGGAACAACGCAATATCGTCTCTCCATTGACGAACGATCGTCTTTCGACCTTTGAAACGACCTGTAGCCTCGGAGACACTGACGACAGACACGTGTTCTGTTTCTCTCTCTCTCTCTCTCTCTCTCTCTCTCTCTCTCTCTCTCTCTCTCTCTCTCTCTCTCTCTCTCTCTCTCTCTCTCTCTCTCTCTCTCTCTCTCTCTCTCTCTCTCTCACTCTCTCACTCTCTCACTCTCTCACTCTCTCACTCTCTCACTCTCTCACTCTCTCACTCTCTCACTCTCTCACTCTCTCACTCTCTCACTCTCTCACTCTCTCACTCTCTCACTCTCTCACTCTCTCACTCTCTCACTCTCTCACTCTCTCACTCTCTCACTCTCTCACTCTCTCACTCTCTCACTCTCTCACTCTCTCACTCTCTCACTCTCTCACTCTCTCACTCTCTCACTCTCTCACTCTCTCACTCTCTCACTCTCTCACTCTCTCACTCTCTCACTCTCTCACTCTCTCACTCTCTCACTCTCTCACTCTCTCACTCTCTCACTCTCTCACTCTCTCACTCTCTCACTCTCTCACTCTCTCTCTCTCTCTCTCTCTCTCTCTCTCTCTCTCTCTCTCTCTCTCTCTCTCTCTCCTCTCTCTCTCTCTCTCTCCTCTTCTCTCTCTCTCTCTCTCTCTCTCTCTCTCTCTCTCTCTCTCTCTCTCTCTCTCTCTCTCTCTCTCTCTCTCTCTCTCTCTCTCTCTCTCTCTCTCTCTCTCTCTCTCTCTCTCTCCTCTCTTCTCTCTCTCTCTCTCTCTCTCTCTCTCTTTCTTCTTTCATATTCCCTCCCTTCTCCAGTGCGAATGTTAATTCCACTTGCAGTTTTTGCGACGGATATTTCAAGTCAGCGCGCCTCGTCGCGCGTAATTAACATTATCTGCGATTCAAAGCCGTCCAACTGACCCAAAGGTCGCGGTAAGCGAAGTGTATCCGCTCCTATGCAAATCGCGGGTCGTCGTATTTAGATGCGATCTAAGCGGCAGGAAGTTACGAGATCTCGAGGAATACGTTGTGACACGATTACTCATCGAAATTTCAGATATTCTTCGTGTTGCGCAAAAAAGACAGCCAAGTGACGTTCCTGCACTTATACCATCACTCGCTGACCCCCCTGGAGACGTGGATCTGCGTGAAGTTCATTCCGGGCGGCCATGGCACCCTCGGCAACCTTATAAACAACGCGGTGCATGTGGTCATGTACGCGTACTACATGTTGGCGGCCATGGGCCCGGAGTATCAGAAGTATTTGTGGTGGAAGAAACATCTGACTACGTTGCAACTGGTGAGTGCAAGCTGTTCCAGCCGATCTCTCCAAGTTCCAACCGAGTCAGTCCTTAAAAGTTCCCATAAGTGAAATTTCATTTCGTATGAATTTTCCATCTTATTAAAAAACGTGACCTCACTTACAGTGGTATTTGATGGTTGTTCTTAAGGAGATCAAGAATCTCTCTTCCCTAAATTGATTAATTAATCGGCCAAGTCGCGGATCTCGCGTATATTCGACATGAATCGCGAGGGAGATTTTCGTTGAAAGAGAATAAATTGAATTCAATAAATACGTAAATACATTATATTAAATGGCAAAAGAAATTTAATCGAATCAAATGAAGGAAATTAAATTGATTAAATTTGTTTAGAAATAAAAAAGTTGACGATAGAGGCGAATTAAAAGCATAAATCAATAGTCAGAAGACGCGAAAGCAAAGAGGTAACAAAGAGAGGAATCGACACCGTGCCCTCTAGAATCCGCGTCGGCTAACCTTCGGCTTAACCTTCGGCTATCGTCATTAACGCTTTGCACATGGACGACGGAATATTCCGTGTTCAGAATATTGCAAATACGATTCAGATTCCGATGATGAATCCGGTTCGTAGATTGATAATGCCGACTTTTCGTCTGAAATTGACAATCCTCCAGAGTTGTGGAGGCATCAAAAACAAAGAAAAAACGCACAACAAAACGAAGCAAAAGCGGAATTTTCCGCCGCTCGCAGATGAGTGTTCTAAAAATAAGTACGAAATATTAATTAACGCGTATAAAGTGAATTGTGAGAAGAATTGCGAGAGAAAAGAGAAGAGGAAGGGATGGCGAAGCTCCGACGAGTCTCGCGTTGCGCGGCACATATTATTTGTTTGTCCGATGGCTTGACTCGGCGTCGTCGACAGCCAATTCCTCTATCTCGCACAATCTGTTGCGTACGCTGAAAAAAAACGCGCGCTCGATCGCGAGAGCGGGATTATACGCAAAAATGCACACGTGATCTGACGTTTCCGAGGCACGGCGGGCGAGCGTACGGTAGCGCAGCGTATGTAATTTTTCCCGCGTGCGGATCAAACCGATTCGTGATACCTTCTTCTTGCACAACTCACGAGTTTCACGTCGAGCGGATAGTAGTCCCGCGCTGATGAAAGTGAACGGGTAGGCACTACTGACCTACTGCGCGCGGTTTAAAGGGTGCACATCGGTAGCGCGCGCGAGATATGCTAATTGCTTACCGAGCCATGTAGAATGCATTTCCTCTCGTCTCTCTTCCGAGGGCGCTTTATGTCTCGCCCTTTTAACCGCAACCCTTTCCACTCGCTCTCCCTTAAGGGTGCTTCACACGCTGCTGCCTTCACTCGCTTTGAACAAGCCTCTTAATTCGTCGGCGAATTCGCTGGTAAAATCCTCCAAATGCTTTTTATTTTTAAGTCGGGCGTGTTCAGCTTTGTGTGGCAGCGGCCACTAGACGCCGGCGGATAAAAATCTCAAGTGTCCGGAAGATTTTTTTCACTAGAGAATTCTAAATTTTAGACGCCAGCGAATAAAAATCTAGGAGAAGTCACCGGCGAGTTTTCGCTGGCGAATTAAGAAGCTTACCTAAAGCGAATAAAAGCAGCCCCGTATAAATCATCCTTTACCGAAACGTTGAAACTAATTATTCCCTTGAGACAAGAATTAGGTAAAGGAGTATCGATTACCAAGTGGCACGCTTAAACACATACATTATCGCCTTGGCGGGAAGGAATTAAAAAAGAAGTCCGACCAGCAATTTTCCAAGATCGGTGTCGCTCATAAATAGTCAAAGTCGAAGCGACTCACACTGTGTTTTTCATTAATCACCGATTTCTTCTTTCTCTCTCCCCTCCTCCTCCCTTTCTCTCTCTTTATACACTAGCTTTTATAGTCCAGTCTTTCCTAAACAGGTTTCGCCGGGGCATTAGCATTTCTCATTACCACACGCTCGCGGTGGCTTTAAATCGATCACGCGATCTTCTTTCGTCGTATGCTACATTGTGGCCTACAATGCGCGGATGAGCTTGCGAGAATACGACTCGCTTCTGTATAAGTTCCGCGGCTGGAACACGCGACGTCCAAGTCGCAAGTCACAAAGGAAAAAGCCAATTAAAGTCACCCAATTTGATATGATAAATAGTTCACCGGAGAAACCGAATTCCGTCGCGCGCGAACGCGAAATCTCCGCTTGGCACAGTAGGACGAGAAAAATGTGCGTGTATATATTGAGTTGTTCGATAAGTTCGATAAGCAACAAGCTAAAATTATTACAGCCTAACATAGCTTTGCACAACATCATATCGACTGTTTCCTCGGTTATCGGCGGATTATCGGAAGAAAAACGAAAGGAGAGAAAAATATCAAGCTGCGAGCTGCTTTCACAAAAATCTCCACCGAGCTGATCGGACAACTAACAGTGAAGTGAATTTTCGCGGCGCCGAAACGGCGAACGGAAATAACAAGGTGAAGGAATGTCGAACCCCGTCAGCGCGTTGCGTCGAAACGTCGACCGACGGAAACCCCGTTCATGCCCGGTTCTCTCGGCGAAACGCGCCTACGCTATCGCCGAAATCAATTTTCCACCTAGAAAGGTGGAACGCGCGGGAAAGATCTAGTCCTTTCCAGCGGCGACGGCGGGGTGACCGCGCCGCCGCCAGAACGGACCCGCGATCGCCCGCGAATTCTGGGCCATCGTTGGTACCTCGACAGATTGGCCGGTTTCGGTCTCACTAGCTGGGCAAAATTTCATACATCAAGCGCATGGTAGGGGTGAGGGAAAGTGAAAAGTACAACGTTGGGCAATTCTCGACTGACTCGCTTTAGCCGGCCGGACTTAGCCGGCCACGTTAGTGGTGGCGCAACAATTTGGCATTCCGCTATGCCATACGGTGTACACCGCGTGTACACTACCCCACCATCGCTATCGTCATCGTCGTCACCACCAACGCCGCAATCATCACCACCCCGCGCCGTCGCCGCCGCCGCCGTCGCCGCCGCCGTCGCCATCGCCGTCCTCGCAACCGGCGTCGCGAAGTATCGGCCAACCGGCCGCATACCTGCGAAGCCTCACCTATATGTGCTTACCTATCCCAGTTGATCTCGCAAGACGCATTGATTCGTTACGTACCGCGCACCTGTGTACGTACGTCCGGCAGGACAGGTGAACAAACCGCCTCGCTTTTGTCCGCTCGCCAGTCCGTGCGACGCGTCAGGCATTCGCGAGGGGTTCAGAACGGAGACGCGAGGACATTCGTACTTAAGGAAGGAGAAGAAGGGGAAAATGGCACGATGGAAGTGTCGCCGCGGTGAGGTCGCGCGTTTCCAAACGAACGACGGATATCCTGCAGATGCACGCGCATTTTCCGATGAAAATTTTTCGATTACGAATTATCTCCCGCGACGTCGCGCTCGAATGAATCCGATGCGAGAGTCGTTTAACATTTAAGTAAGCGACAATTGACAAGTATTGCTTGCGCTTTGAGAGGTCCCGCATACGAACAGCGCGATGCACCGATTGCGAATCTCAAATTAACACTGCGATCGAACAGCAATCTAACCTAACCTCGTCGTCACGGAGTCCGTGGCATTTAGTTTCGCAAGTAATTAAATTAGTCGATTAATAGAGGCCTAATTGCACTAATACATCGATAACATTTGCAAAACTCGTTGAACAGTTTCGCCGCCGGACAGCGGAGCGAAATTTCCAGATTTACGAAGTTCGTACAAACATGGCCGACCATATTAAGTTTGCCTCAAAAAATCCCGATACACCGAATCCAAATTTGCATATCACTTCGGAGAAGTGAAATATTTCCACTAAAAACTAATTAACTAACACGTAAAAACCAACACGTTCGAAATGTAAGAATTTAGGCCGGTGTTCATAGTCAGGTCTTGTAGTTAAGACTGTCTTAAGTTCACTTTCAGATACCCCGCAGTCAATGAAATAATTCGTACAGCATCTGAAGATGAACTTAAGACGGTCTTAAATATAAAATCCGACTATGAATACCGGCTTTAATGTCCTGTCAATTCTCTCTGCATGGTACTGCTCATGCCTGTGAGTTTATTACGCAGAGACGGAGAAAATTAAGACACAGCCGGCTTGATAATCGCGTAGATCGAGCATTAAACCATTGAAATACGCAAGCAGTTTTTCGCAATTCCGCCACCAATGAGATAGGACTTTCGCCGCGAATTTCGATGTCTCGCCCCACTGTGCGCCGCGTTTGCCCGCAAGACACGACCGTTCGCAGCAAGCGAATTTAACTTCACATACTTCGAGCGGGGGAAGGGGGCAAATTAAACTATGCAGCCGCGCCAGATACGACTCGGCGAGAATTTGGGCGTGAAAAACGCATAGTCGCGAAACGAACCGGTTGCGGAGAGCAACACATTTCTGCTACCAATGTTTTTGTTCATTCCACATTACGAGTTAATCTCCCTCGCGTGCGCGTTTCGGCCCCCTCCTTCAGCCCCGTTCGCCCAATCACGGCGACCGAAGTCTGTTCCGAAATCGGTTTTGGAAACTCTAGTTTTAATTATAAGGTTGCTAGGCCTTAAACTAACTCAGATACGTTTCCGTAATTGATCAGCTGATAACGCTTAGGAGTTCATAGTCATGTAATACTTCTGCTTACAAACTTGATTTTAGCTATTAATTTTGTAATATCAGATAGAGAAGATAGATTTTTCTTTTTTATTACTTATTACCTTGACAATTGATCAGCCGATCAATTACGGAACGTAGGTTAGTTTATCGGAATTACGGAATCTAGATTAGTTTAAGGTCTACCAACCTTAGAACTAAAACTAAAATTTCTGAAACAAATTTTGGAACGGGGACCTTATTCTCGAAAATTTGTGAAAAATATCGTATATGAAATATTTCATCAATGGAATAATTCAATTAGCTGAGAATCGTGATATCTAGTAATATTCATGAAATATCGTATGCGATATTTTTCAAGAATACGGACCCCAGACCCTTATTCTCGAAAATTTGTGAAAAATATCGTATGCGATATTTCATCAAGGAGGCAATTTAATTGGCTGAGAATCGTGATATCTAGTGATATTCATGAAATATCGTATGTGACATTTTTCAAGAATGCGGACCCCTTATTCTCGAAAATTTGTGAAAAATATCGTATAAGATATTTCATCAATGGGACAATTTAATTGGCTGAGAATCGTGATATCTAGTGACACTCATGAAATCTCGTATGCGACATTTTTTAATAATACGGGCCCCGGGCCCTTATTCTCGAAAATTTGTAAAAAAAATATCGTATGCGATATTTCATCAATGGGGCAATTTAATTGGCCGAGAATCGTGATATCTAGTGACACTCATGAAATCTCGTATGCGACATTTTTTAATAATACGGGCCCCGGGCCCTTATTCTCGAAAATTTGTAAAAAAAATATCGTATGCGATATTTCATCAATGGGGCAATTTAATTGGCCGAGAATCGTGATATCTAGTGACACTCATGAAATCTCGTATGCAACATTTTTCAAGAATACGGGCCCCGGGCCCTTACTCTCGAAAATTTGAAAAAAAATGTCGTATGCGATATTTCATCAATGGGGCAATTTGATTGGCATGATATTCAGTGACATTCATGAAATATCGTATGCGATATTTTTCAAGAATATGAGTCCCGGGCCTCCGTGCCTGCTGGGTTTCGAATAGTTTTCGATTCCAAGCGGCTGCGATTTTCCGTGTAACAAGTCGCTGCGTTTCGTTTCAGGTGCAATTCTTCCTGGTGTTCGTGCACAGCACGCAGGCCCTCATCTTTGACTGCGGCTACCCGAAGCTAGTGGCGGGCCTCCTGCTGTTGCACTCGACGATCTTCTTCGTGCTCTTCTCCGACTTCTACCAGCGTGCTTACCAGCGTAAGAGGAAGTTCGCGAAGCAGCTCAAGGACGAATAAAGCGCGCTCGCACGCGCGCACGAGAGAGAAGACATCGGGAAGAGGGCAATTTCATTCACCCCGACCACGCTGGATCGGAGACGCGTAATATATACGTACATGTCGCGCATGCACCCCACTTTTTATGCCGGCGATACAACCGTCGAAAGACGGCCCTGCACTCGCTTCGATTGGCATCGGCGATGATCGAGATATCGCGATCGTCGCGATACTCGCGTTGCGACATTCGACAGCGAGAGCGCGACGTTTGTTCGGCGCAAAGTGCGAAAGAGGAAGCGGTTTCTGGAAAGAGGGGAACGTTTTATCTTCGTAGCGGGCGCGTTCTACGGAGGAATGCCTTGGTCCTGCGGCGCGTGTGACGGGATTATTGAATTCGATAGTGAGAAAAGTAAAAGTACAGCACACCCGGACAAGGACCATAACCGTTCGCCTTTCGTTTGCCGGCACAATTTATTGGGTCAGTTAAAGACTTCGGTTCGGATACGTGACGTCATGTCGTGCAGCCAACGGCGCTGATGATTGTCCCGCTTGTGCACAGAAAGTATCCCTTTCCGATTCTCAAACTTATGAAATATTGCACGTAACGTTCGTGTGAGGGAAACGGACTGAACGGGTAGGCGGGTGTGACGTGCGCGCGTTGAAAAACGTGGACGTCGACGACGCAACAGAGTGAAGCTTAGCCCGACAGTCGCGACAGTCGGGTTCTCTTGCTAACCTGATATGAGGGGAATCCGTCTCCTCGTGTTCAAAGATCGGGAATTGCGAGAAACGAAATTTCCACGACGACGATGAGGGGAAACTGATGAACGAAACGGCAGAGTCAGTCGGTCAATAGGTTAATCCCCGTGTCGTATCTCTTTGTTTGTTTCGCATCCGCTTGATCGGAGAAACGTGCGCTGCTACACAGCGCGAAAGCGATGATGCAAGGAGAGAAAAAAGCGAGGAGATACACGCGGGAAATTATATCTCACGAGCCGCTGATGATAGATGGTGATAATTTCGAGTGCTCTTGCAGACGTAAATCGCACGGGCTCTCGTTACACGAATATGTTGGTACTTGCGGCCATGAGGATCGAGGTCAGACGTTTCACTGGCAGGCGCCTAAGCGCCGGAGATTGCTTCCGTAAGGAAGAATCTCCGGCGATCGTTATTCAATAGCGTTCTCGCATCGGCCGTCTGGGTGGGTTATCCCAAGTCAGGCGACAGTTTTCCACCGGAGAACCTCTTCCGGTACACTCGGCCCCTCCCCTGTCCCCGTCGGTCCCTGTCGCCCGCCGCCCGATTTTCTCGAACCGTCACGCCCTCTGTATTATCGTCTCATTTCCGATCTTCCGCTCTGATCTGGATCGGTTCTTTGTCCATTCGAACGGGTCGTTCGGTCGCGTTTGATAATTGCGACCGATTAAGCGAGATAAAACACGAGACACTGAGAAACGAGTTTTCCGTGTCGCGTAGTTTCTAATGGTCGATAAGCGCGAGGATAGATGAGAACAGGAACAAGAAGAAACGCGAGGACGCGCTTCGAAAGTCACGTCGGCCAGTAGAAAAGAAACGTACTTATATTATGGCTCTTCGTTCTCCTCCTCTTATTTTTTTCTTCTTCTTTTTTCAAGACTCCGCACGGAGAAGACAGCTTGTCTGTCGCGTTCATTCGAATGAGCTGTTTTCTCCGTGTGCACTTTTGTAAACTCGATCACGGCTCACTTATCGAGAATGATCGCGTGTGAGGTGCTCGGAATTGTAATCTCATAAGAGCCACTTCGCCTCGTCAATCTTTTGTAAAGTATAAATTCGTTGTAAATATGAAAGGTAACTGAGATCAGGCGCTCTCTCTCTCTCTCTCTCTCTCTCTCTCTCTCTCTCTCTCCCACCCCCTCCCATTCTCCCTTCCTCCCTCTCTTTGTCTTTTCTCGAAGTTTTTGCCGGTACTAGTTGGCAAAGTGTGTTTGAGATGATGAACAAAAGTACGATTTTCCTGCTCACAAGTAGGGATGAGCAATTTTCATCGATTAATCGAAAGAACCGATAGTTTTTTCTCAATTAATTAATGCTTTCAGATGATTTTATTTTTGTTGAATTAATCGATGTTTGATGATTTTTTTCAACATCAGTAACCGATTTTTATTTTTTTTTTTAAATAGAAGATTTTTGTAATATCGTCTTTCAGATACGGTAAATGAAATTTATGAACGTTAAGTCCAGATCTACAATAGATATAGTAAGCTTTAAGTCTTAAGAAATTACCACAGTTAATTATTCCTTGTAAAAGTAGATTGGGAATGGTTAATTTTTTAAGTTTACTACATTTATGGACAATATGGACATTCATGGACAATAGGGTTGTTCGGTTTTTATTGATAAGTTTCGAAACGTTGCCAAATGGCCCAATAAGAGCACTTATCTTCCTAAAATTAGTTCTCTTGGTTCACATAAAATTAGTTCACATGGAAAATACATCAAATGAGATGCCGAGTTAAAGACCTCGCACACTGACGCGATTAGCAACAAACAATAATCTAATAAGAGTTCTGTTTTAAAGAAGAAATGAAAGCTCTTTTTTCTTAAAATAGAACTGTTATTAGATATCGTTCATAACATAGTCGCGTCCAGTGTGCAAGATCCTTTAGGAGGATTTCTAGCAATACTGAGAATACCATGGGTATCATTTTATCCTTGTTTAACATTCAGTGAAAAATAAGGATTGAACAATGCCGGCTACATCTGTTGCGAATTTAAGAACGCATCCAACATGTAAGCAAGGGGAGCATCCGAATGATGTTTCCGAACGCACCCCTAGCAGTGTTCAATCTGGTGCTAACCAATTTAAATGTTTACTTTGTAAATTTAATCGATTAATCGATAAATCGATTTTTTTTCTAGAAAATAATCGGTCATTACAATATTTTTTTTATTAATCGATATTTTAAACATCGATGTATTTTCGAACATCGCCCATCCCTACTCACGAGTGTTCACTCGAGTATCCACCCCCGAAAGAGATAACGATCTGATAACGGTGAATGTCTCATAAAAATCACGTCCGAGGTAGTATCGCGGGGCTGTCGACTTTCCTGCGAGAAATCGCGCCAACAGAAAGTCTCGCCGTCGTTTTCTCGCCGGCCCCGGCGAGACTCGTGGATACACCGCAGTGCGGTACGAATGACAAGAAACTCGCGTTCATGTCAGATGCGAGGGAAAAGTGGCGGATATATGGAGAGAACGATTCGCGCGCAGCTGTGTGAACGATGCGTTTGAATCCCGACGAGGCAAGCCTGCGTCCCGGACAGCGGAAGTGTCTGAGAGGCGCCTTGGAGGTGCCTGAGAGACACCTTGTTTCTTTCTTCAGTCTTTGAAACGCACCTCAAAGACGTGTCCTAGACACTTCGCGCCGCCTGTTTTTGTACCATGTTGAGCGTAATTGTGTGAACTTACAGCGTTTACAGCGCGTCGAGGTCGCTCAGACTGTCGCACCGCGACGTGTCGTGCTTCATCGTTTTCGCGACTGCGTCCCGATCCGCCTCATCTGTCTCTTCTCTCCGCGCGATTAGGGAGGTAGATACATGATTTAATTTAATACGGAGAAACGATCAATATCCCATCGCCACTATGTCGCTTGTTGACGTCTTACCGCGCTCGTCCCTGCACGTTATTTTCTTCCCACGGGATTACGGGGTGCAGTAGGACGACGCGAATACCGGACATATGCAAAACAGGAAACCGGCGCGGACGGCGCGATGCCCGACTCGACGGCGACTCGGTGCCGTCGGAGGAGAGCCGTCGGAGAGCCGCGGCTCCGCGGCGCTCTCTACTTTATTGATTCCCTCGATGAAGCTGCGCAGCTACGAAGAGCGCGAGAGCGCGCATCCCATGCGTACATGGAGAGTCGCGCGACCGACCAACTGAGTCGGTGTATTTGATACAATCACCAGAACAATACAACGAAGAACGATAAGTTATTGCTCTCGGACGCGAGAGAGCCAGTCTCTCGCTAGAGCGAGACGTTATTTTTTACCTCCAACCTTAGGATTAGAGCGCGACCAGAGCGGCGTATCGACCAGATCGTGCGTGCGCCCTTTTGTACATACTGTGTATCTCTTCGTTTGTAATGATAAATAAAACCTTCACTATGGATCTTACGTTCTTGGGGTCTCTGCTGAGATCAAACTGCGAAATTAATTGTCCGACCTGACGCGTGGGAGGATCGTTCACGAGAGGACGATTCAGACACACAGACACGTCGGCTTCGCGCCAGATCCGTTTCGCGGAAGATTGACGTTTACTTTGTAATGTATAGCAAATTGTACATTAAATGTTTGAAAGCCAATGCAGTATCATATACACTCCTGTGACACCCGAGATACAGGGTCTGCTTTTTTCAGTTGAACTGGTGCTGCACTGGAACTGCACTGGTTCAGAACTAAACTGCCGAGTACAGCAAAAGTTCATAGGTGCAGAAATGCCAGGTAGAATAGAAAAGAACGCCATAGTGCAGGAGACAACACGTTATTGCAGCTGTTGACGATTCTTCAGATGAAGATTTTATTTTATCTGTATGTACCTCCACCTTACACGCAGAACCTATCTGGGATGAAGAACATGATGATTGATTAATATTAATAAAGTAAAATCTGCAAAGTATCTAATAATCCAATAACCATCTAAGATATATCTTTTTCAAATATACTGCCTGAACTAGGAAACCTATAGATTCCAAACAGAGAAAGAAAGAAAAAAAGACTCCTTGACAAGAAGGAAAAGAAAAAGAAGAGAAAATGCGAGATTGAAGTTAACTTAAATTATCATTGTCAGACACTTTAGCAAATGTAACAAGTCTATTGCTATACATTTTATTTATAATATATTTATATACAATAGTACTATAGAGCAATATGATCAATTTTACTCATGCAACCTAAGTTGACGCGACACAAATCAATTTATTAAAATTCTATGATAATAGACATTCAAGCAGCTGTTGCTTGTATCCTCTTCTTTCTCTCGAGGAGACGACGTTCCCTCTCATATTCCTTCAATCTTAGGACAGCACTATAACAGTATAATATTTATCAGTATACATTTATAAAACAGGACATGGAAAATACGGGATATGTGTATGTATTATCTATGTATATCTGTAATTGTCGCAAAAAATAATTGTAATTAGTCAAAACAGTACAATAACTTACTCATCAGCTAGACAATGATGATATTCGTGTTTCTCATGTGCACACTTCAACATAAATGGATAATGATGCCTCTGGCATTCTAGAAGATCCATATATTTGTGAGCACAAAAATCACGTTTGTTGAGTGGGATCTTTGCAGCTATCATGTCTTCTTCTGATACCAACATTTCTGTAAATTTATTAAACTAAGCAGAGATTGTAGATAAACAAAAAACAGATATATATACTAATAAATAAATAAATATGCAGAATGATTCAGGACCTCTGTGATAAACTCATGAATTCATCTATATAAGTACATTTGTTTTGTTGATGTTTATGCTTACAATATGGTGACATTTATTATAATTATGAACTGAGTAATTTATTTATTATTTCAAGTATACTTGCATAGTTTGCAAGTATTTCAAAATATATACTTAAATGATGCATCAGAGAACATGAGTTGCCTGATAAATATGATCCTTTTTATGAAATCTATTTAATTTCTCAAGGTCTATTATAGAGATCCTGAATATCACTCTGTACATATATATACATATATTTTATTTGCTATTATTATTCCTATGAAGAAACAAATATGATAGAATAAGCAATATTATATATTGAGAGATTTCTCAATTAATATAAAAGTCAACAAAATGTTATTTTATAATATGAGAGTCAAATCAGTAAAATAGTCACTGATGATATTAACTGAATGTAATATATTTCTACTATGAAGCAATTATGGTACAATAATTACTCGAGAATAACAAGAGAGACATATTTAGTTTATTTGCATGGTAAAGTTATTATCAAGGTAAATCCAAATGTATCAAGTATTCAGTATATACTTACCATGTATCATATATTTTATCAATAAACACAAAACAAATTGCAAAATTGTACAATATAATTAGATATTAAATGAGACTTAACTCTACAATTATGTTATACATTTGTGACAAGAAAATTCAAGGTAACACGATGGTGATATAAGAAAATAAAAAGAAAATAATGTTGACATATTCTTGAGCGCATGAACCAGATGATTGATTCCAGATTCACATCCGACCAACAATAAAGGCTTTATAATCGAAATTTGTGCACGTATAAGGTTAGTTCCAACTGCCAATACTTGCCCCTCGGTTTCCGACCGTCTGGAAATCCTAACATCGGGTCGAATGTCGCTGGTCCCTGGGGAATAGGCATCACATCGGTCTTGGTGAAATAAGTACCGATAAAATTACCCATTCTCACAAATTGTATCCGAGCAACAATAGCAAGTAAACCACAATCTCCCGCAGTACTGTATCGCACTGACATCTGTTGACCCAACTTACATAATATTCGTATCGTTCGCGAATATCTATGTCGAATTGCAACAATAATGTAATTATTCAACATATAAATTGTTGCCAAATAGGTGTATAAAACTTTATATTTTAATTAACTCGAACGCGATTTTTTGTTAATGGAAATATTTACAGACATATATTTTTCTGTTATATAATTGTATTATGTTTCATATATTATTATCCAATTATATATATATATATAACAAAAAACGAGACGATACACACAAAATATATTTTAATATAAAAAAATATGCAACATTCTAGATACTCAGTTTTACAATAGAAGAACGGGAAGTGGTTTTCGTGGTAACAAGACAAAATTCTTATATCTTTAAATAAATGTTTATTCGGACTTTGCTGAAATAAACATATTAATATATTAATTACGTTCGTATGTAATGTAAGGAATATGGAGAATCGCTTCATGGCTACATTTTTAATACTATCATTTTTATTTTTTATGACAAAATGGATATCTGAATTCTTTTGGCAACGACATATATATCATATGTGTGTGTAGTATACAGTTTCTCATTAGCTTTATATCATATACTCATTGCTCCTTCAATCTAGATACTTACAACTGCAGGGAAGTTTGTTTCAGACTTAAGCTACAAATGTACAAAAAATAATATGAATTAATCATCATCCTCCTCCATAGCTTCCAATGCTCCATTTCCTGAAATATATATATATATATATGTATAAGTTATATGAATTTGTTTGCTTTATTTGCAACACATGCCATGTGAAGTTACATACCATTCTGTAGTCGTTCCTCGCCTGGTATATGGCCAGCTTGTAGCAGTTTGCTGAGTCTTTGCACCTCTTCTAAGGAGGACGCGTTTGTAATGGCTTCGCGAATCTTTTTACGCTCCTCAGCAGAAGTAAGAGGTTTCTCTGCAGATGTACCAGCCGTCTGTGCCTTCACCTTCTTGGCTATCTCGCGTGCCATTTCCTTGCCGCGTTTGCTCCTGAAATACTCTATTGCCGCCTCGCGTTCCTTTTGCTTAATTTTTCGGAAATCAAGCAGTCTAAGTTGTGGGAATCTATATATGACATATTGTCGGTAGTGCTGTTTAGCTGACACTGGGTTTTGCAGCAAACATAGGTTTGTGAGATTTTTCAGTGGTATGAGAGGTTCCAAGTCTCCCAATTCTTGTATCATGTTGCCAGTTAACATCAGAGTATGTAAATTTGGGATGCAATGCTCTAGGCCTTCGGCAATTCTGACAATGCGATTGTTATTGAAGAACAGGGTTTTGATCCTTTTCAAGAGTGGAAATCCATCCAGTTTACGTATATCGTTATCTGAGAAATCTATAGTGTCAAATTGGTCCTACGTAAAAGAAGAATTAAATACATATATGTTAGAATCACAATTGTGAAATATTTTGCTCTGTAACAATAGCTGTTATTTGATATTTGTTTGATATACTCAGATTTGAGTTTAGATTTAAATGTAAGTTTTTTAGTTGAATTGTAGTTACATATGTGATAATTCATCACATGGAGAACTCAGACTTAACTCTAAACCCAAGTTGGAGTATCTTACAAGAGACAAGTTTTAAGTTGTAACTATCCATCGGCAAAGTCAAAGTACTTACCAAAGTCGCTCCTAGATTTTCAATAGTGGGTATTTTGTATCCTATAACACACAAAGGAAACATAACAATCGCAGGATAAACATAATACACATGATATGATAACACATCAAGTTAAACTTGGGCGATTTCTTACAAACCTCTGAGATCTAACTCACGATCACGCACAGGATTGATGTACTGCATTGATTGCTCTATTAAATCCGGTGTGAGTTTCACCATCGTGAAAGAATATCGTGGATTATCAGTTCAAACTTGACTTTTACGTTTTGCTCAAACGTTCTTAACCTATACACGTCCAACGATTGAATCCGTACTGTTTGAGATAATTCTTTCTCTCTCTCTCTCTCTCTCTCTCTCTCGCGCCCATTTCTACCAACCTTGGTTAAATAAATTGGTTGGAAGTTAACTGGCTGGTTATTCGTACGGAATTGTCCAATCGTATCTGCCATTAATCAGGGTAACGATCATGAATCTTTCACGTGAACTTCTTTTTCATTTCTCACTTTTCACTGTAAGTAATTTCATATGAAAAGTGAACTGTAAAAAAGTGAAAAGTAATATTTCTGGGTAATTATTTAAAAGATGGGCCTCACCTTAGATTTCGCTCAAACTCACCTATTTTGTGTATTTTGACGTGTAGAAGCCGAATCTGCAATTAAAAATAGTCGCTCGGCTTTAGTTTGCGCGAAATAAATAGTTAAAAAGTGACACATGCGAGGTTAGGAAATCTGTCATGTCGGTAATACAGAAACTTATGGTCTGTTCTTTTTAGTCGGAAAGTGTAAAATAGTACACGTTGGGGAGGGGCGAAGCCCTTTCCCCAAAGCCATTTTCATATATTAAACATATGAATTTTTAGCTCATGTATCAGTGGTTATTACACAACAAAATTATTACACAACAAAAACTATTGGTCCTTACTGTTAGATCCTTACATTCAGACAGATAACGTTGACAAATTATTCGACAGTTGCTCAACCGTTGAGTGTTGTGAACGCATCCAATTCTTATATTTTGAAAAATCAGCAGCGGAGGGATAGATACATAGTGCAAGTCATTCAAATGGAAATTCGTCTTTTGCAAGATATTGAACAGAAACAGGTATGTATATTAAATTTTAAGTGAAATCGTATTTATTTAGTCACTAATCGCTCACTGAGCGGTTTTCTCTGCTGAATGCAATGATTGTTGACATACTTATGTCATACCACGTATATTTCATTTCTCGCTTTTCGTTGTGAGTTACTGCGTAAGCGTGCTCCGCAGCCGGAGCAGCAGCTCTCATCTTTCTCGAGTCGGGATGCGTCCCGAAAGTCATAAAAAAAAGTGAGAACCTTTATGTCCGCGACCATCCGTCTTTTTCGCAAAAGAATAATGTTATGTTACGGAAAAATAACTTATGTTAATTTAAGAAATAATTTATTATTAGCACACAAGAAATATAAAAATAAATTATGTAATTTAATTTTTAAATTATTCTAACACTGCAATCTGTAGTGTGCTAAACAAATAAATATAATGAAATAGAGCAAAATAATTTTGCGATTATATGCATTAATCTATTGCACATTTATTTTGTAAATAATAACGTACATATTGTTCCTCAACGGAAACCGCGAGAAGGTGGTGGTCTCTTCTGTCAGTAAGAAAATGTAAATGTATGTTTCATCAATGTAAATGAAAAAAAAAACGTTTTCTCTATTATAACTATTTTATATATAGAATAATTTTGATATGTACAGGGTGTCCCATTTTAAGTGTCCACCCCAAATCTCTCTTATTTTTTATTTTAGAGAAAAATGGTTCAGACACGTATTGTATGGTTTCGAAGGGGCCATAGGATGGTACCATTGATTTGACCTTGAAGAGTCATTTGAAGGTCACGTGAGGGTTACCTCAATTTTTTAGAAGGCACCCTCTATTTTTTATTATATATTCTTGTGGCTGACCTCGAGAGCTTCCCAAAGCACTATATTCAAATGTTTTTTGGTGAAGTACTTTTCGAGTTATAAAGCTCCAAATTTACAAAATTTTGATAAAAATACAAAATATTTCGTAAAACATTCACTTTCCGATAGTCTTATCTTACATGATCCAACCAGTCAAGGCAAGATCCGAGCATGATCCAGCCAGTCAAGGCAAGATTCGAGCATGATCCAGCCAGTCAAGGCAAGATCCGAGCATGATACAGCCAGTCAAGGCAAGATCCGAGCATGATTTAGCCAGTCAAGGCAAGATCCGAGCATGATACAGCCAGTCAAGACGAGATCCTGTATTGCCTGATAATCAATGAACTGTAACAATTGTGAAAGTCCAATTGTCAATTCTTTTAATGAAACAAATATCAAGAGGCTTGTTTCAAATTTCTTACTTAGGCAACTGTCGGTATTTTGGCGAAGTCTCAGACAAACGCATATTATTATCCATTGACTTTTTTTTTGATAAGACAGGAATTTTTTGTTTTTTGGCGCTTTTTTCTTTATAATTATGGCTGCTTATCCACCAAATGAAATTGTGGACATGATTCGCATTTTGGGTGAGGCCAGAAATAATTATTCGGCAGCAGGAAAGCTTTATGCTGAAAGATTTCCAGACAGACGCCATCCTGATAGGAAAGTAATAAAAAAACTTTGCGACAGAGCTGAACAGGGTTTTCTTAGAAGAAACCGGCGAAAATCGGGCCCTGATGAAGTCACATCATTGACTATTATAGATGTCGTTGCTTTGAATCCTCAAATCTCTACGAGACAAATTGAGAGGCAATACGGTATATCTAAATCAACAGTCAATCGTGTGCTCAAGCTCAACAAGTTTCACCCATATCACATTCATCTAACTCAGCAATTGGAAGAGAGGAACTACCAACGCCGTGTACGTTTTTGTAACTGGACTCGAGATCAAATCCAACAAAATCCCCGGTTCATTGCTGATACGCTTTTTTCTGAAGAAGCCACGTTTTGTAATAGAAGAGGCGTTAATAGACATAACTGCCATTATTATTCAGATGCTAATCCACATTGGCAGAGAAGCCAAGAGTTCCAACGGCAGTGGTCCATTAACGTTTGGGCAGGCATCCTGGGAGATGTTATTGTTGGTCCATATTTTTTTCAAGAAAATCTCAATGCGGCAATCTATTTAAGATTTCTTCAAGATGACCTGCCCAACCTCTTGAGACATGTCGACAATGATTTACTCAGACGAATGTGTTTCCAACAAGACGGAGCACCGGCTCATAGATCTCGAGCTGTTACACAATATTTAAACAATAGATTCCCGAATAAGTGGATTGGTATGGGCAGCCGAGTTCAAGAATGGCCCCCAAGATCACTCGACTTGACACCCCTAGATTTTTATTTCTGGGGCTACATTAGAGATATAGTTTATTCGCAAAAGCCTACAACCGTTGAAAATATGAAAAACTGGATCAGACAGGCTTGCAGAAATATTAATGTAAGTGTTCTTGAAAAAGTTAGGGACGACTTTCACCATAGACTAGAGCTATGCATACAAGTAAATGGCCAAGTTTTTGAACACTTTAAGTAATTGTACACAAAAGAAGATCTTGCCTTGACTGGTTGGATCATGCTCGGATCTTGTCCTGACTGGCTGGATCATGGTCGGATCTTGCCTTGACTGACTGGATCATGCTCGGATCTTGCCTTGACTGGCTGGATCATGCTCGGATCTTGCCTTGACTGGCTGGATCATGCTCGGATCTTGCCTTGACTGGTTGGATCATGCTCGGATCTTGCCTTGACTGGTTGGATTATGTAAGATAAGACTATCGGAAAGTGAATGTTTTACGAAATATTTTGTATTTTTATCAAAATTTTGTAAATTTGGAGCTTTATAACTCGAAAAGTACTTCACCAAAAAACATTTGATTATAGTATTTTGCGAAGTTCTCGTGGTCAGAATATGTAATAAAAGATAGGGTGTGCCATCTAAAAAAATTGAGGTAACCTTCACATGACCTTCAAATGATTCTTCAAGTTCAAATCAATGGTACCATCTTATGGCCCCCTCGGAACCATACAAAACGTGTCTGAATCATTTTTCTTTAAAATAAAAAATAAGAGAGGTATTTGGAGTGGACACTTAAAATGGGACACCCTGTGTACAGGGTGTCCCATTTAACCTGACAAATCGTAATATCTGGAAAACTACATGTCGGATCAAAAAAAGTGGGTAATGAAATTTGTTTGTCTCGAAGGGGGACATCCAATGATATCAAACTCGACCTCCCACCCCACTCCCGGAGGGTGGGGGTGGGAGGCAACTTTGAAATATTAAACAGGAACCCCCATTTTTTATTGCAGATTCGGATTCTACGCCACTAAATACGTAAGTTTCGTCCGAAACTTTTTTTTTATTCGTGATAGATGGCGCTATAATCGCAAGAAATTAGATTTTCTGCAATTCTCCAGAAATGATCATTGGATTGAAAAATAAAAAAATACCTGTTCAATATTTTTAAAAATATTTTTAAAAAACATAATAACAGTTATTCCTCCCCAACCCCTCGGGGTAGGGTGGGTGGTAACGTTCAAATCTCAAATGAGAATCCACATTTTTCATTGCAGAATTAGATTTTACGTGAAGTTTTTATGGAAACAATTTTTTTCATTCGTGATAGCGTTGAATTTTTCCGAGAAACTACTTTTAGCGTTACCCAGGAACAACGACGAGGACGTAGTAGCTTTCTATTCCCTTCGGGGTGCTTGTTTTAGGTGAGTTCCCTCGCCTTTCACCATCGGGGGACTCATCTAAAACAAGCACCCCGAAGGGAACAGAAAGCTACTACGTCCTCGGTCGTTGTTCCTGGGTAACGCTAAAAGTAGTTTCTCGGAAAAATTCAACGCTATCTATCACGAATGAAAAAAAATTGTTTCCATAAAAGCTTCACGTAAAATCTAATTCTGCAATGAAAAATGTGGGTTCTCATTTGAGATTTGAACGTTACCACCCACCCTACCCCGAGGGAATGGGGAGGAATAACTGTTATTATGTTTTTTAAAAATGTTTTTAAAAATATTGAACAGGTATTTTTTATTTTTCAATCCAATGATCATTTCTGGAGAATTGCAGAAAATCTAATTTTTGCGATTACAGCGCCATCTATCACGAATAAAAAAAAAAGTTTCGGACGAAACTTACGTATTTAGTGGCGTAGAATCCGAATCTGCAATAAAAAATGGGGGTTCCTGTTTAATATTTCAAAGTTGCCTCCTACCCCCACCCTCCGGGAGTGGGGTGGGAGGTCGAGTTTGATATCATTGGATGTCCCCCTTCGAGACAAACAAATTTCATTACCCACTTTTTTTGATCCGACATGTAGTTTTCCAGA